TAATAAATGCTGACGAGATGTTACACTCAGATCTCTCCAAGAAATTAGGGATATTTATTTTGCCTCAAAATAAGTTAATTATAATAATAACATTAAAAAAATAATAATAACACTGCAAAAGAAAGCTGCTACATAAAAAATCATGAAAAAAAAGAAAAAGTAAAAGGGAAGAGACAGTAATATTAGTCATAATTTACAAACACTTTCCCTAATTGAAAAAGAAAGAAAAAAAATAAAAACAATCAATCAATCCCCGGTGTTTTCACGCACAGCTTACTCTCTTCCTCTTTACAATGCGGTGGTACTTTGGACAGCCAGTTAAGGAATAATAAAATCTGTATATAATACTATCACATGTACATTTTTATCAGAAGCTCTGATTCATTTATATTTTATTACTTATTTTTTTTTGCAGATTTTTAAATATTTTGTTTGCAAGAGCAACCTGAAATTTATTTATTTATTTTTTTTGGTTTTTGTTTTCATATAAACTACATTTAACAGCATTTGTACAAACAAAATTTTCCAAAGAAAAAAGAGAGAAAAAAAAAGATTTAAAAACATTCTATAGAGCCTGCGGAACCATGCTATTTGATGCAGTCAATCATCTTTTATGATTTTTTTTTGTTTTTTATTTTTTTTTTTTTACTTCCAAAGATCAAGTAAAAAGCATATTATGCATATACATTTCTGCTTTGACAAAGAAGTGTTTGAGTTCCATATTAGAATACATGAGAGGTTCTAAAAAAAAAAAAAGATTTAAATATCGAACAATGAAGAGAATTCCCGGTGACGAAACGACCCAAACAACCACAACAGTCTGGGAAGCTCTTTCATGTAACATTGTTTATTATTATTATTACCTGTTATGCATCTTTATATACAGTGATAAAAAAAAAGAAGAAAAAAATCCATCACCTTTAACAATCTTTGGAAAAAAAAAAGAGCTAAGGTAAATTACAATCACACGTTATATCATTCTTACATAAAATAAGATACAGAGAAAGAATAAAATTTGTTAAAAGTAGCATATGAGCAGTTCAAACACTAGGCCTGATACATATATACATTAATATATATATATATATATATATATATATATATATATATATATATATATATATATATATATATATATATATATATATATGCATATGTATATATATGCATATACTTATATACATATATATGTATGTATATATATGGATACATATTATATACAGGTATTAAATATATATATATATATATATATATATATATATATATATATATATATATATATATATATATATATATATATATATATATATATATAAAAGTACTACTGCATAGCCACACCAGATAACCCAAGTCAAACCACTTGAAGTGTATTTCATCATTCTATTATGACATATCACAGGGTTGGCGAAAGGGCAGTGTTGCATGGGCTGACTTATGTAAGGTCCACCTAGCATTGAAAAGTTGTGTCTTTGAGACATCTGAATGAGTAAAAAACGAAGTCTATTCAACAAGAATAACACTGTCCTGCTTTTGGTAAAACGCTTGCTTACAGTTATGGAAGGAAGAAAGGTTTGATGGAGAGAGTGGGAGAGAGGGAGAAATTACATTATACACTATATGTATATATGTACATATGTATATATGTATATATATGCATATGTGTGTGTGTGTGTGTGTGTGTGTGTGTGTGTGTGTGTGTGTGTGTGTGTGTGTGTGTGTGTGTGTGTGTGTGTGTGTGTGTGTGTGTGTGTGTGTGTGTGTGTGTAATATATATATATATATATATATATATATATATATATATATATATATATATATATATATTTATATATATATATATATATATATACATATATATACATATATATACATATATATACATATATATACATATATATACATATATATACATATATATACATATATATACATATACATACATATACATACATATACATATACATATACATATACATATATATACATATATATACATATATATACATATATATACATATATACATATATATATATATATATATATACATATATACATATATACATATATACATATACATACATGCATACTTATATGCACATACATAGTATATATAGGTATTTGTGACTTGTTATATAATATCTCCCACTAATTTAAAAGTTAATACTTGTAATCTGCACTGATGACACTGAACTACCAGAAACACAGCATTCACTAAGGGTGAAAGTGAAACGGATATCTTCTAAAAAATCTTTTGGGGGTGAATGCATTCATTTTATTAGTTTTATTTTTTTTTTCAAATAACATTTCTTGGGGGAAAAAATAACCCTTAAGTAAATTATATAATCTTCAAAAAAACAAAAACAAAAAAAAAACACTGATACCTATATGCATTGTAACTTTGTGTCCAAGTATTGACAGTGATCTGAAAACGCTCGAACCCAAGCCAAGAGAATTAATTTTTATCCTTCCTATACAATAATCTAATAACTGCTAACAAATCAAGGCGAAGCTATCTACAACCGAGAGATGTCTTCTACAAAGAGATATAGTTGCTCGCACACGGAACATTCGCACGGTTTATATCGAGGACGGTTTTCTTTTTTTTAGCAATACGTTATCACGGCTATATTGTTGTACCCTATGGCTATATCTAAGTGTGACAGGGAGCTAGGAAGAAAACTAAAGGGAGAGAGAGAGAGATAGAAAAAAAACAACAACAAAGAAGTGGGGGAAGAATGAATAAGGTGGGAGATAGAAAGAGAGACATAAAGAATTACAAAACAGACATCTTCAAAATCTCACAAATGTATAAAGATTAGAAAAAAAAAAAAAAAAAATCTATAGATTGAAAAGATAAAAAAAAAAGAGAGAAAATAAAAAATTGTATACATATATTACTTCCCATAAACCCTAAAAGTTCTTGTTTAAGCTAAGTTCAGTCCATTCAGAGTGAACAAGATGCCATCGCATTCTGAAATTCAGAAAATTATCAACTTGCACTGGAAAACAACAATTGAAAATGAACAAAGAGACAATATGTTCTACAATTAATTGAATGGGAGGGGCGGGGAAGTGGAGGGGTGGGGGTGGGGGGGGGGAGAAGGGAGGGAGAAAACCAGCATGGCATCTATACAAGGTGCTATCTGCCTACAGGTTTATGCTTACACAGCCTTTCTTACCATAGTATATTCAAATAGAAAATAAAAATTCATCTGTTGAGGTCCTATCCATTCTATGTATAAAATCTAAATTCTTGTTTTTTTTTTTTTGTATGTTTTTTTTTTTTACTTTTTATCTTTCTTTCATTTCTTTATCATTACAATGCACACAGAAGTGAGGACAAAAGAAGATTAAACATGTACATATATGTATGGATATTATTATTATTGTGTTCTTAAAAAAAATAATAAATAAATAAAATAAAAATAAAAACGAGAAAGTCATGTAAGACCATCACAATACTCATAATTAACTCACAACGTGCGACGATGGCTGGGGGACGCGGCCGATGACCTTGAATTACCAATATTTTTTTTTTCCCGAGCTCTCTTTTTTTTTTCTTTTTTTTCTCCTGCTGTTCTCTCCTTTCCTGACATTTACTCTTCGTCTCCGCCTCCTTGCCAGTGACGCGTTTTCTTGAAGCGGCTCTGCATGCATATACATAATCTATTCTTTCATCTTCCTCTCCTCTTCCTTTTTCCGACTCTTTGCCAGTGACGATGCATATCTCCAAGCGTTTTTTTTTTTTTTGTTTTTTGTTTTTTTTTGTTTTTTTGCAAGCATGCTTTCATTTACTTCATTTTATCTAATATACTTTATTCAGTTCTTCTTTTTTTTAAAGTTTATCACAAAAAGGCATGCTTTGGGGCATACCCAAACCCAACGAGTCTCAGATTATAGCAGCGGCATGAAACAGCACCAGTCAAAATGCCTGTAGAATCAAGCAAACTTAAAGACCTTGGTCCATCATCGGAGGAAAATACTGTACGCATGCTTGAATGGCATACCATTCCAAAAACGAAGAATCTATGAGCTTTTTGTGTTCTTTTTCTAATCCTTTTAAAAGTCTTTCTTTTTTTTTTAAATATCTATATGAATTCACACACATATACACACTCACAGACACACTTCATCTTTTTGATTTTTATTCTCGAGATAAAAATGAAGAAAAGAGTGAAGATGGGATCGAAAATGACAAAGAAAATGCAAACACCATGCTATTCATACGTCTGATATGTGTCGAAGGTCTTCAATTTTGAAAGAGAGCGAAAGAAAAGAAAGAAGAATTTCACAACAAAGAAAATCATGAATTCGAAAAATCAGTCACTATCTGGTTTCCAGTATTCATACAAATACCTATTCAAAATAAAAAAAAAAAAAGTGAAAAAGAGAAAGACAAAAAAAATATAATAATAAAAAACAAACACCACCAACAACAACAACCTGTCATCACTTTACACACTGTATAAAGTCGAGAGAAGAGATTTTTCATTCATCGTTTCCTGTCCACCAGCACCAAATGTGTCTGTTAGCTGTTTCTATTATTATTATTTTTTTATCCCTTCTGTTTGTGACATTGTCTATTATCAGAGAGAGTTTTTTTTTTTTTTTTTTAAGACAAAAGTTCAATGTATATATATATATGTTGTTTTCCAGTATATCTCTTCTTGCTGGTTTGTCATTTCAAAAGCTTCAAACTCTTAAGAAAAATTGAGTCACTGCAAGTGTGCACTTTTCTCCTTAATTTTTTTCTTTCTTTCTTTCTTTTCTTTTTCAGTTTTTCATTCATAACTAATTATCAAAGTCTTTATCATCTGTCACCTTGAGAGACACCACATTACGAAGACAGAAATGTTGTCTGCTTCTACTAAAAATACTGATATAAAAAAAATTTATTACTAACTAACACTCCTCAAAAAAATAATAGAAATCAAGCACTGTTTATAATAATGATATCAATAAAAAAACAAATCATTATTATATCATATCAGTCATATCACCAACTACAATACCAATCATGTCAATAATACTACTAATAATACCAATATCAAAATCAATAATAACCATACTAATAAACATGATAATAATAATGATAATAATCATAATAAAAATTGTAATAATAAAATAACAATAGCAATAATAATACATACTTCTAGTACAACTACAACTACCAATAAAATAACCACAATAGTAGTAACAATGATAGCACTTTCTCATCCAGCACTGCATCGCCACAGTCAAATGAATGCCAAGGTCACATGCCTCCCAAGAAATACCCCCACAGAGCCACTGTATTCGCACCATCGCCATCATGACTCGTCAATCACAATACGAGGAAAGGGGAAAAAGAAAAAAAAATATATAATAATAATAATAAAAAATAAGAGAAGAAGAAGAAGAAGAAAAAAAAATGGAAAGTAAGTCACACTTTCCCCCCTTCTATTTTTTGTCTTTCTTCCTTTCTTTCTTTCTTTCTTTCTTTTACCCTTTCCTTACAAACAAAATCATTCAAAATAATCCTATTTTACACAATGTCCATTCTCTACTTATTCATCTACTTCAACCAAGATAATCTTTTGTCCATTATCATAAAGCTTTTTTTCTGTCTTCCTTTCTTCTTTCCTCCCCTCTTTCTTTCCATCATTTTATTGTATAATTTCTCTTTCTATCCTTCACTAAAAGGGCTAGAGCACTCCCGTCTCGTCCATTAATGGCAACGACGCCGTGTCCATTCCATCGTCCTTCTTGTGTCCCCTCTCGTATATATCTAAATTGCTTCCTGTAAGGGAGAATCAAAACAGGCGATTTAGTGACTGGTTTTACCTGAAATAGCAGTTCTGTTGAGGGATCAGGAATGTATTAAGTGTGAATCTGTTACAAGGTTCTGTTACTGGGTTAGGAATATGAGCTTAGTGCTGTTACAAGATTTGTTATGGGATTAGTGATGTGTTTTGTTGTGGGATCAGTGGCATCTTAGCTGAAGTCTGTTAAACTGGGGTTCCAATAATCTTACCTGACTGAAATCCTACTTCAGGCAGGGAAAATCATTACCTTGGCCAGTCCTATGCACACTATTGGCAGCAATACGGGAGACAAACCCAAAACTATTTCTTGCTCGGACCCCAAAAAGATTTTTGTGAATATTGAGGATCTACAGTGTATGAATACCTTAGAAATCTGTTAAATATTACTAAGCTTTTATAACACTAATCAAACCCTTTTTGAAACCATCCTAGACATGCCTAGCTTTGGGAAGTAATTGCAATATACCCCCCCTCCCCCCAAAAAAAAAGGGGTGGGGGTTGGGGGGAGGGGGGATGACACCCAAAAATGGCTAACAGATTCTGGCTAAGCTTAAATAGTAGAACCTGGCCCTGAGAGATCCTGATGTATGGTGAGTGTGTTGCTAAGTGAAGGATTAGTGTAGGATTTCTTCAACATGATGCTGAAGGTTTCACAGGTTAGGAGAAATGGATGGAAGGTTACCTTTGCTTTTGCTGGTTCTCTTAACTGGGTAATGTTCCTTGTGGGAGAGAACTGGATGGCTTAGTTTAATAGAAGTATTTGGTTAAGGTGTTTTCCTGGTTAGGACAATTAGTTGAGGTTTGGTTATGATGATGAGGTGATTGAGGTTACTAGTTTAGTATGATAAAGGTTTTTTTTGTTAAGTTAAACTGATTATGGTTTTTAGGTTGTGTAAAACAGAGTATGAGGGTCTACTAGTTAGGATAACTGTGGAATTCTGATAATTCTAAAATCATATGCCAGATATAAAAGAAGTGCTTCTGATTTGTAAGAAATAAATTGATAATATCAGTATGAATATACTAAAGGTCTCCTAAACCTTTAGATATAAGCTAGTAATCTTTCTACAATCTAAATAAAAGAGAAAAAGTCTATATATGAGTGAAACAAAATTGGCAGATTGTCCGAGACTGACCTTTGGTGCCAGACCTTAAACCAGAAGTAACAAGTAAGATCAATAAGAACCAGAGTTTGCCACCTCTTCCCCCTACTCACCCGATTGTTTACGATTTTTTGACGATCTTTCTTCAGGTATGAATGCAGCCACCAGCAGTGCACAGATAACCATTAGAGCACCAAAGACAAATGGTGGGCCAGGCACCAGCTTTGGGCTGCTGGTGACGTGGTGGGAGGTGCCATTCCCAGAGGCTGAGCTGTTGGGCTGAAAAGGCAAGAGCACAATAATAAAACTTGTATCAATTGTATCCAAGGCCTAATTCAGATGGTAGGGTCTAATTCTTTAATCATGGTAATATAACTAGGAATAAACTAAACAAATTTTCAGAGCATATCTATGATGACATAATTTTGGGACAGCATGAACTTCAACTGATATCCCAATCCAATAATAATGAATAAATGATTAAACATGGTGATTCTAAATATTGGGACACACAAATCACAAACAACCCAATCTTTGAAGAAATGACAGACAAGAAACAAGCAATTCACAAAAGGTCATATGAACTACTTACTCTCTGCTCTCCACCTTCTGCCTTGTCTATATTTAGATCCATTTGGAAGAGATAGAATATGAAGCCGAAGACTGCGGGGCCGAGACCAGAGCATAGGCCTCTCATCCCGGTAATGATCCCCTGCACGACTCCTGCAACATGCGAGAAAGAGAGGAATTAGCATGTTCACTGGAGAGTCTATTGGTTTAGTCATGGAACAGAAGTGAATGTCTTGCCTATCCATGGAGACAAATTATGAAAGGGAGAAATGAGGTTTTGAGAAAGAAAACATGAAGAAACATGTTGGTGGAAGAGGAGACATGAAGATAAAAATCAAAATATCAATAAATCTTAAAACATTAATAAAGTTGAAAAGAGACGAAGCATTAACGGGAAACAGGGGTGTTGCAAGATAAACTGAAGTAATAAAGACAAGTGGAAATAGCACACTGTTCAGAATGAATTAAAATGACTTAGTCAGGGAACTCACATGTTCTAGCACAAGAAACAGGGAGGAATTACTAAGCTTTTGAGATGATTTGTGGAATGATCTGATCACTGCCTTGGAGAGATAATACAGTATACAAGGAGTCGCAGAGGTAATGGGAGAGATAGGATGTATAAGGAATGTGAAAAGAAAGACCAGAAGAATGAGCTAAAAAGGGAGAGAGGGGGGAGGATGAATATAGTAGAAAAAAAAAAGAGAATGAGTGAAAAATAATCTATAAGAAAGAATAACATACAATCATGGGAGCAGTAAAACAAGAAAAATAACAGTAATAATAATAAAACAATAACAATAACAATGGCGCATTTTACCATGTACCACCACTTGAAATCATTATACACAGTTACACCAAAAAGAAGCTTTCATCCACTATAAGTCAGCCTCTCACCATACCTTGCTTATCAACATCAGAATGAGTGCTGACATAGGCACTAATGGCTGGGTAGGTGATGGAAGATACAGCTGCTAGAAGTCCCGCTGCCCACATCATCCACATCTTTGAGCCAAAGCCGTACCACATGAGCTGGAGCATCTCAAATACGAGGCCCACCTGCAAGTTGTTAGAAGGTGTTACCAAAGTTGTTATAAACTTTATGGAAATACACTGTTGGAATCATTCAGGTAATTATCAAAATATCTGAAGCCCAAGGTCCATCTGGAAGCAGGGAGTGAATAAACATATTATTAAACAAACTTAAATAATATCTATTCTCATCACTCTTAATAGTCCCTGGGAAAAAACATTCACTAAAAGATAACAGACCCTTTTCCCCTTTCCTTCCTCTCCACCTCTTCTTCTTCCTTGTCCTTGTCCTTGTCCTTGTCCTTGTCCTTATCCTCCTCCTCCTCCTCCTCCTTGTGCAATAAACTTTCCCCAATAAAAGAACCCACATTCCAAGCAACCATCTCAGTAAAAAAGAAATTGCAAGGCCCAGTAACCTATACACACACACCAGAAGACCTATCAAAGATCGGCGGCTGACAACAAACTGTTACAACTCGGTTCTTTTTCCTGCAGCATCAGCCCGAGCATAAACAAAAGTTCATCCCGCCAAATCTCTCACTTACGCGGGAAGATGCTAACTTTATCCACTAAGGAAAACAACTCGGGAAAATACCCAGTTGGCACGTGGAGCACAGTCGTATCTTCTCTTTAATATTTCCTTTTGACTGAGAGTCCTACATTTACCGCAGATACCTAATGATACTCAATTGTTTTATTTTTCAAAAAAAAAAACTTTTTCTTCGACTAATATAAAACAAAAGAACTTGAAAAACAATGACTTACTATTATATGAACTATTAGAGACAATCCACAACTTGAAAACAGAGTAAACAAAAAGAACTCAAGGAAAGTAATGAGACAAGCACTTACCATAATAACATGTTTGTTTGACAACTGCTTCATGAGCAGACTCAGCAACGCGGTCTGTGCGACAACGGAGAGGATGCCCACCACAGCAATGAATGTTGCAACCATTGGTGCAGTGAAATCCATAACCTGTTAAGAGAGAATGTGCACATTTTTTAGTATCACCTTCGTATGTATTATGGAGAGAGAAAAAAATCATCCATAACATTTTGATTATCTAAATACATTTTTTCTGTTATTTTGCTTTGTTATTTTTCTGTTCTATTAATAATTTTTTCCATTAACCAACACTTCCCTGATAATATTTGTCATTTCTAAATTCTACATCACCTCTGAAGACAGATCCATAAAAGTTGCAACAATAGTAATACCAATCAAACTCACAACAATAACTACAACAATAATCATGAACCAAAAATCTTTTTTTTTTTAATCCTAAAAACCCACAAACCACAAACCAAAAACCACAAACAATATCAAGCCTGAATAACATTAAAAAAAAAAAAAACAATATTTAATTCACAAAAAACCCTCGGACATGATGCGAGACACCTACCAGGCTGAGGTACACAAAGAAACAGGAGTACTGGCCAGCTTCGGGCAGATAAGACAGGAGCACTGTCACGCTGATGAGAAGGACATTGCGATCTTTGCTCACTTTCCACAAAGCCTGCAATAAAGATAGTTTAAGTTATTGTTAATGCTACAAGTTTCTATAACTGTTATCATTAAATATCATCCCTGTTAACAGTACTACCAAAATTGTCAATTCTATTATTGTTATCTTTACTATCACTCTTTCATATTATTATAATTACCAATATTACCATGATTTTTATTCTTATCATTATCACTGTTATTCTGCCAAAGACCTGGAACATGTCTATGAATATTTCCTTTTGCCTCTCTATTAGAAAATGAAAGAACAGTAAGAGAAAGAGAAAGAAAAGATATGGAAAAGTTATAAAAAAGGATAAATTATCCCAAGAGACATAGGAGGAAAGAAGAGAAAATGCAAAGGAAGAGGATGAGGAGGAGATGGAGAGGGAGGAATAACAAGAAAAAAGAAAATGACTGAAGGAATACATGAGAAAATATTCACAAAATAAAAGTAATAAGATAAAAAAAGAAAGAAAGAAAGAAAAAGAAAGAAAGAAAAGAAAAGAAAAAAATCAGACAGAAGGAAGAGGAGGAAACTACACAAACGACCCTGGTCCTCACCGAGAAGGGGTCTGCCTGCTCCCACGAGATGTGTGCGCTCCAGGAAGATGATAATCTGAGCTTCTCCGGTAAGGACTCCGGCACGGCAACCAGGATGAAAAAGACGTCCAGCACCGCTATCGCCGTCGCCAAGCCCACTACCAGGTCATCGCTGAACACCTGCAAGCGAGGGAAATGTAAATGTTAATTTTTAGAAGTTAGAATAATGATAATAGCAGTAATGATGATGTGGTTGTGATGATACTGATGATTCTACTAATATTATTACTATTACAATTGACAACAATGACTATAAAGAGAATAAACATAAAAATCTTGATAAGAATAACTTAATTAATAACAGTAGTAATAATATCAACACTAAAATCAATAATTAACAAGAATCAGCAATTATCCTCCTTGTAACATGATGATAATGACGATGAAGATGCCATGAATTAAAACAAAAAACATAATAATCAAAAACATAAAGTCAATAAGGAAATCATAAATAACGAAAATAAGGAAAATTAATTTACAACAGAAATGACACACGAATCAAATAAGAAATAACCATAATCACGATGATAACCAGAAAGAAAACTTATTAAAGCACAAATCAAGCCACCGATGAAAGTGCTGTAAATTACACATGAGAAGGAAGAAAAAAAATTATTTAAAAAAAAAGCAGACTTCTTCAACTAGTTCTGAAAGTTTCTGGCCCCACTAATGGTTCACTAAGAGATTTTTCTTTCTTTCATTCTCATTGCAACTTCTCTCGCCATATTTCAAGACCGACACTTGTTCGTCTGTGTTATTGCTTTGATAATGGAAACCTGGCCATTTTTCTTTGTTTTGAGGGGGAAGAAGGTTTAGATGAAAAATGTTTTTGGACATGAGTACACAAGCAATGTCTACAAATACACACAATTTCAGAAAAAAAAAAGTGTGACCAGCCACCTTCCACACTAGCTCAAAGCCACAAGCATTCTTCCTCTTTCTCCTCTCTCCTCTCCTCCCCTTCCCTTACTTTCCCCTAAACCACTCTCTTCCCCTTCCCCTTTCTTCACTCTCCTCTCTATGACACACCTACGCCCTCCGCTCCCCTCTCCTCCCCTTTCCTTACTCTTCCCTTCCCTTCTCTTCACTCTCCCCTATCCTCCCTATGACTCACTCCTCCTCCCCCTCCAACACTCCCCAACCCCCTTTATAACCTCTTTCCTTTCCTTTCCCTTCCCTTCTTCCTCCTCTTCCCCCTTCTCTCCCAATCTTTCCTCCTTTCCATCTCCTTTCTTCCTCCTTCCTCTCCTCTCCTCTCCTCTCCATCCCTCATTCTCCATTCCACTCCCCTCTCTTCTAACTCTTCTCCTCCTCTCGAAACTTACAGAGCCCAGGTACGCCCCGAGCGCCGGGGAGGTGACGAGGCTGGCGGCGAACGTGGCCGAGACCAGGCCGTAGGCACTACTGCGGTCGGCCTCGTCGGTCACGTCGGCCACGTAGGCGAACACGATGCTGAACGTGACGGCGAACACGCCCGACATGCTGATGAGGGCGAAATACCACCTGGGGGGGGATAAAGGACGGTTAATTAAGTGTCCAAATGGGATGATCATTTCAGTAAAATACAAACAAACCGGTAGATAAATAATTAGATAACTCCACAATATAATATACAAATTGGAAGATTTCCAATTACTAAAACGCATCCCTATCACACTCTCAAAATTAGCAACATCACAATTACACTCTACAAACTCAAAAGCAATATCGCATCAAACGGTTACGCATCAAACGAGTACCGAGAAACCCTTACCATGTGTTGATCTTCATGAACGGGATGGGCAGACATGTAAAGAACACGGTGATGAACAGGAAGAACTTGCGACCCCACAGGTCAGACAAGGCGCCGATCAGGGGGGCACTCAGGAATGACAACAAACCCTGCGAAAGAAGAGGACGGTTGTTAAAAATGTTTTCCCCTGTTGTTGTTGTCGTTGTTGTTAGATTATAGGTAAAATGCTTTCCCTTGTTATTGTTGTTGTTAGATTATAGGTAAACAAACAAACGTTTGGAGTAAAAAATATAGACTTCCAAATAGGCGCAAAGAAATGCGGTGTTTTAAAACTACTCCTAACTCCTGCTAATGTTGTTACTGTTGTTGTTGTAGTTGTAGTTGTTGCTGCTTCTGCTATTGTTACAAGACAGCTAGAGCTAGCATATCTTCATCTTTATGAACTACATTTACTTTTTTTTGTTGTTGTTAAATTCCAAACAAACTTGCACAGTAACAGATGGCCCGAGGACATTCCGCTCGCCGCTGCGTCGACAACGGACACAAGTCTCGTCCTTTCATTATAGAATGTACCTTCTGCATATTAGGGCGACTTTCCAAATGCTGCTTAATCTCAGAACAAACAAATGACGAAGGACAAGCTGAGATTGACACGAGGCGCAAATAAACGAAGGAAAGTTGCCTGAAGTTATTCGTTTCTCAAAAAAAAAAAAAAAAAAAAAAAAAAAAAAAAAAAAAAAAAAAAAAAAGCCTAAAAAAAAGTTTACCTGTGCGATTAATCGACGTAAAAAAAAGAAGAACAATATATAACCAAATGAACAAACAGAAATAAAATCTACTTTCACATGTACACCAGCGTTTCCATTCATTATCATAATTATCATTACTCTCTCGTTTTCTTTTCTTATGTTACAGTACTTACTCGCTCTACAAAATAATAAAAAAAACTGCTTATCTTAGTATATCACAAAGGCCTAAAAAAATAACTGGGCTTACTTTCACCGTTCCAAGACCTCATGTTGTACATATTATTATTATTATTATTATTATTATTATTATTATTATTATTACTATTGTTATTATTATTATTATTACCATTATCCCTATTTTTTCCCTGGCAATAGAACCCTGAATTAACCTCACTACATAAAACGAGACCATCTATCAACCAAGCAACAAACTTTAATCAACAACCAAAACGGCCGACTTAAATCATAATCAACCAAAAAAACAAACATACAAACAACTATCAATTCATCAAACAAACAACCAACCTCCCTCATTATCAACCAAACAACCAATTTCCACTTCCTACCACCCCACCCCCAAAAAAAAAAATCACACACACAACACGCAAACAATGAAAGCAAAAAAAAAACAAAAAGCAAAAAAAAAAAATCTCTCGATAAAACGGCCGCGGCATCTCGACCTCCGCACGACCTCGTTACAGCAACACCCGCTTGTAACGCAACCCATTCAACCACACAGGCGGAAGAGAAGGAAGCACCGGGGTTGAAACTCGATTCCCGTTTTCTTTGATGTCCTTATTGTGATGACGTCAGCTGCGTTCAGTTTCCCTCAATGGCATCTTAACCCATTCGCCGCGGATGGCAAGAATAGATGCCATACCCACTTTGATACACGTTTATTTATTGTATTTACACATAGATGGCTCTACAAATTCTTAATCACCAAATAGCCAGTTATCAAGAACTACCTATTTCACCTGTTTAGCCTTTTCCTTCACTTTCGGAAAGGGTTTTTTGTATCATCTTATTGTCAAAAATATTCTAATGACAATTCAATCATCATAACATCAGTAACAATAATAACAGCATCGAAAGCAATGATATTAATTTTCCCGCCAATTCAATGAATGGGAAAATCAGGGTCGGTAACTAGGGCCTACTGATAGACTCCTTGCCGGCTGAGTACATGTGGAGCCATCTGTAGGTAGCAAAATTCACCAAAACCAACAGGGGACAGAACATAAATCCGTGGCCAATGGGTTAATATAGGGCACCGTGTACGGACACACAGGCACGCAAACAAACACATAATCTTTGTAAATGTTGCAGTAAACTTTTATTATTATCATTATTATTAGTATCATTATCATCGTCGTCACTGTTACACACAAACACACACGAGCAAGAAAGGAAGACGGGGAGGAGAAGAAGAGGAAGAGGAAGAAAAAAAATATAGATTGAGAGAGGGAGAAAGAGAGATTGAACGAGAGAGAGACAGAGACAGAGAGAGAGAGAAAGAGAAAGAGAAAGATAAAAAGAGAAAGAGAAAGAAAGAAAGAGAGAGATGAAAATCGAGAGAAAAGAGAAAGAGAAATAAAATATAGGAGAAAGAAAGAGAGAGAAAAAGTGAGAGAACAAAAGAGAGAAACAGAAATAGAAACAAAGAGCTAAACAAAAACCACCTGAGTAAAAGAGAAAAAAGCCCTTCCCCCCTCCCACCCCACCCACCTCAACCCCCCTTTCCCAACGCCGCAAATCAATTACGGATGACGTCACAACTCAAAGCGTGCTTGCATGCTTGCTCGCTGCCGTCATCCTCCCCCGCCCCCCCCCCCTACCACCTTTCACCCTTACTCCACCTGGGCGAAAATGCTATCCCGCTGTCTCCTTCCCTTCCTCCTTTCTCTCTCTCCTTCCCTTCCCATCTCCTCCTCCTCCTTCTAATCTACTTACGCCTTCTTTTTTTCTCCACTTCCCCCCTCTCCTCACGCACTCTCTCTTTCTCCTCTCTCCTCTTCCCCCCCTTCCCTTACTTTCCCCTTAACCTCTCTCCTCCCCTTCCCCTTTCTTCACTCTCCTCCCTATGACACACCTACGCCCTCCTCTCCCTTCTCCTCCCCTTTCCTTACTTTTCCCTTCCACTCTCCAGTTCTCTTCCCTTCTCTTCACTCTCACCTATTCTCCCTATGACTCACTCCCTCTCCCCTTCCCTCCCCTCTTCCCTCCCCTCCCCTCTCCCCTCCCTTCTTCCCTCCCCTCCTCTCTCCCCTTCCCTTTCCTGCCCCCCCCCCACATCCCACCTCTCCCCACCTTACCTATGAGTGCCACGTCATACGTTTTCCGCAACACTGCCAATAGTTCCCCTCACCAGTCGAGGGGAAAGAAGAGTTTTCCCCTTTTCGCGGTCATATTTCTAACGGTGGAAGGATGGGGAGGAGCGGACAGGAGAGGAGAGGAGAGGAGAGGAGAGGAGAGGAGAGGAGAGGAGAAGAGAGGAGAGGAAAGGAGAGAGAGAGAGAGATGGTGGGGATGGGAGGGAGGGAAGAGACCGGGGGAGAGGGAAGGGGTGGGGTTAGGAGGTTAAAACTGGCAAGGGAGGGAGGGAGGGAGGGAGGGGAGACACCAGGGGATGGGAGGTTAATAGTGGCGGGGAAGGAGGGAGTGGTAATAGGTGGGGGGGGGGGTGACCTTGAGCTCCGTCTTGGGTTCTAAGAATGTTAGCTGCACCACCGGAGGCGATCTTAATCAGGTCTTTATGACGTGTGCCCTTAAAAGATATATACATGTATGTGTGTGTGCGTGCGTGCGTGCGTGTGCGTGCGTGTGCGTGTGCGTGCGTGTGTGTGTGTAGATAAATAGATAAATATTTTTCTATAACATATGATTTTTTTCTGTATCATTCACCTATAATAATTTTGGCACTGTTCTCATTCCCATGAAATGTATATTGCGTATTTTTTTTTTCCTTCACTTCCGTCTATATGTCATGAATCCACCGATACGGAAACACACTTTCGAATTTTGTAGAAGCTCAAACTAACCTTTTACGGAATGTGATAGAAGAAGAAATAATAACGACCGAACTGGGAGAAACAGGGGGAAAATAGCTCGACCAAAATATCCTAAAAATAAACTGAGGGAGGTGAAGGACACAGGTTGGGGGGAGACGAAGGAGAGGAAGAAGGGGGGGGGGGTGAAGGAGAGGGAATAGGGGGAGGGGGGTGGGGGAAGGAGACGAAGGAGAGGAAGGGGGGGGGGGGAAGACGAAGAAGATGGGTGGGGGAAGCGACGAAGGAGAGGAAAGGGGGGGGTGGGGGGCAAGGAATAGAAAGAGAGTCCTTATCGATCTGGACTTCCACGCCCGGCCAAGGAGGAGGAGCAGGAGGACACCCGGGCCGAGATTGGGGTGTGGGGGGTGGGGGAGGAGAGGGCGAGGAGAGCAAATGAACGAGAAATAAAAAAGGTTTGGGGGGAGGGGGAGGGAAGGAGGAATATAGAGTGATTATATTTATATATATATTATATATATATATATATATATATATATATATATATATATATATATATATATATATATATATATATATTAATATATAGAGAGAGAGAGAGTACTCTCTCTCTCTCTCTCTCTCTCTCTCTCTCTCTCTCTCTCTCTCTCTCTCTCTCTCTCTCTCTCTCTCTCTCTCTCTCTCTCTCTCTCTCTCTCTCTCTCTCTCTCTCTCTCTCTCTCTCTCTCTCTCTCTCTCTCTCTCTCTCTCTCTCTCTCTCTCTCTCTCTCTCTCTCTCTCTCTCTCTCTCTCTCTCTCTCTCTCTCTCTCTCTCTCTCTCTCTCTCTCTCTCTCTCTCTCTCTCTCTCTCTCTCTCTCTCTCTCTCTCTCTCTCTCTCTCTCTCTCTCTCTCTCTCTCTCTCTCTCTCTCTCTCTCTCTCTCTCTCTCTCTCTCTCTCTCTCTCTCTCTCTCTCTCTCTCTCTCTCTCTCTCTCTCTCTCTCTCTCTCTCTCTCTCTCTCTCTCTCTCTCTCTCTCTCTCTCTCTCTCTCTCTCTCTCTCTCTCTCTCTCTCTCTCTCTCTCTCTCTCTCTCTCTCTCTCTCTCTCTCTCTCTCTCTCTCTCTCTCTCTCTCTCTCTCTCTCTCTCTCTCTCTCTCTCTCTCTCTCTCTCTCTCTCTCTCTCTCTCTCTCTCTCTCTCTCTCTCTCCCTCTCTCTCCTCTCTCTCCTCCCTCCCTCCCTCCCTCTCTCTCTCTCTCTCTCGTCTCACGATGATAGGTAATGGGAGCAAAGATTACCATACAAAGTCTAAAGAAAAGAAGTCCTAAAAATATAGAAAACAAATAAGGAGAAAACAAATACAAATAGGGAGAGAGAGAGAAAGAGAGAAATAGAAAAAAGTGAGAGAGAGAGAG